TTTTCGAGATTTTGATAAATTTTGTCAAAATTCCAACTTTAAATGCTTATAAAAAAAAATCGTGCCTATGTATTTTTAATATTTTTCAACTGATATTGTAACAATATATCAGGAGCCTTGTATTAAATTTTTACACTTTTTGGCCCAACAGATAAAACTTTATTGATATTTATAGAAAAAAAAACTAAAAAAAATTGAAAGCTGTAAATGTCCATAAACAGCTCAAAAAGAGTCAAAATATTTTCAAAATTGTATGGTGTATATGAAATGCTAATATAAACATTCAGTGAAATTTTCATGTATCTACAGTTATTCGTTTTTGAATTACAACAAAATAAGAAAATCGCTACATGAGAAATCGAGTGAAAATCCAATGTTGTAAAAATTTGAATTTCAAACGCTCATAAAAATTTAATTTGACTGTCCGGTAGAGATTTTTTTATTGATAAAGGTAGATAATTTTATAAGGAATCTTGTGTTTCATTTTCAAATCTTAGATTTAAAAAGAAAAATTTTTACGAATTCTTAACTCAAAATAATTTGCTAATTTTCGTGATTTTTCCATATTTTGTCAATTTTTGAACTTTAAATGCTTATAAAAAAAAATTGTGACTAAGGATTTTTAATATTTTTCATCTGCCTTTGAAACAATATATTAGGAGCCTTCTATTAAATTTTCAAGCTTTCGCAACCAACAAATAAAATTTTATTGATATTTCAAAAAAAAAAACTAAAAAAATGAAAAATGAAAATGTCCCTAAACAGTTCAAAATAAATCAAAATATTTTGAAAATGTTATCGTGTATAGAAAATGCAAATATAAACAACCAGTGAAAATTTCATGTATCTACGGTCATTTGTTTTAAAGTTACACCAAAAACCAAATTCGATTTTTTGGAAAATCGATTTTGCGTAAAAATTCCCGTTTTTCCTTAATTTTTATGTTGTTTTTTCCCGGCGCTTGTGAAAACTACTGGAAAATGTTTACTTTTGACCCCCCAAAGTACCAACTAGATTCACTTTCCTATCAGAAAAGGTACTATTGAAGAAAATCGAAGCACTTTTACTGTCCCAAAACGTGATGACAGACACAAAAAAAAATAAAAAAAAAAGGTGGGCAAGTGGGTGTCGCTCTGCTGTACAGTAGGTTACAAGTGGGTCACTGTATAATGGATGGTATTAAATTTGAATTCAATGATATAATATCATTGTATAAGAAAAACGATTCTGAGCGGTGATGGTATGTCAGTCTATGTATAAGGCATATTATATACATATCTATGGTATTAAACAAAAAATTGACCTATAATAGGTAGGTACCTATAATAAATTCCAAATTAATCATATCACAATATCCATTAGATACTTATAACGCGTTATACATCAACAAAAACCGTGATACTATCATAGATATATAATAGTACACTTTAGAAGTTTCAAGTACCCACGAATAGTATTATTCAATCACAACAAAATAACTAAAATCGTAATTCTTGGTTTAAATATGAAATTTTGTCTAAATTTGAAATTAAAATGTCTGTAAAAAATAAGTGTGTTTATATATTTTTTAGATTTTTTGGTTACAGTATGAATTATTTAAGAGAATCTTTGTTTTTAATTTTCAACTCTTAGTTATAAAAACTGAACATTTTATAATTTTTTAATTCCAACGATTGATAATTTTCGAGATTTTGATAAATTTTGTCAAAATTCCAACTTTAAATGCTTATAAAAAAAAATCGTGCCTATGTATTTTTAATATTTTTCAACTGATATTGTAACAATATATCAGGAGCCTTGTATTAAATTTTTACACTTTTTGGCCCAACAGATAAAACTTTATTGATATTTATAGAAAAAAAAACTAAAAAAATTGAAAGCTGTAAATGTCCATAAACAGCTCAAAAAGAGTCAAAATATTTTCAAAATTGTATGGTGTATATGAAATGCTAATATAAACATTCAGTGAAATTTTCATGTATCTACAGTTATTCGTTTTTGAATTACAACAAAATAAGAAAATCGCTACATGAGAAATCGAGTGAAAATCCAATGTTGTAAAAATTTGAATTTCAAACGCTCATAAAAATTTAATTTGACTGTCCGGTAGAGATTTTTTTATTGATAAAGGTAGATAATTTTATAAGGAATCTTGTGTTTCATTTTCAAATCTTAGATTTAAAAAGAAAAATTTTTACGAATTCTTAACTCAAAATAATTTGCTAATTTTCGTGATTTTTCCATATTTTGTCAATTTTTGAACTTTAAATGCTTATAAAAAAAATTGTGACTAAGGATTTTTAATATTTTTCATCTGCCTTTGAAACAATATATTAGGAGCCTTCTATTAAATTTTCAAGCTTTCGCAACCAACAAATAAAATTTTATTGATATTTCAAAAAAAAAAACTAAAAAAAATGAAAAATGAAAATGTCCCTAAACAGTTCAAAATAAATCAAAATATTTTGAAAATTTTATCGTGTATAGAAAATGCAAATATAAACAACCAGTGAAAATTTCATGTATCTACGGTCATTTGTTTTAAAGTTACACCAAAAACCAAATTCGATTTTGTCAAAAACTGATTTTGCGTAAAAATTCCCGTTTTTCCTTAATTTTTATGTTGTTTTTTCCCGGCGCTTGTGAAAACTATTGGGAATTTTAAATTTTGACCTCCCCAATGCACCAACGATATTCACTTTCCAATCGAACAAGATACTGAAGTCGAAAATCGAAGCATTATTTCGACTACTTATCGTGTACACAGACACAAAAATAAAAAAAAAAAATAAAAATAAAAAAAAAAAAAAAAAACACACATCATTGTAAAATCAATACATTCATCGTTTCACTCAGAATCTAAAATAAAAAAAAAAATAAAAAAACACACATCATTGTAAAATCAATACATTCATCGTTTCACTCAGAATCTAAAATTTATAAGATGTTGAATCTCATGTATTAGGTAAGGCTTGACTAATACAAATTGGTTCCTCCAAAAGTAATTTCATACTGGAACCAAAATATATAAATACAATTTACAGCGTTTACGTTTTATATTTTATATACACAATGACATTTTTTTTTTTTGTATTTTATACTTTTTTTAAATTGTACGTTAAAATGTGTGCGTTGTTAAGCATACCTACTTAAATATTGCATATTTTATAAAATATTAATATATTAGGTATACAAAATCATATTATATTATAATACTATAGTATAGGTACAAATCACTCATATGGGGTTTATTCTTGGGCGCCCGCAGGGCGGTGCTAAGGGTGCCATTGCCCCCGTGGGAATTTTTAACTGTATTCATTTTGTTATAAATATCTCTATAACTAATATTAGTTATAATTTACAAGTAATTTTTATCTTGCCATGGTTGGGTTTTTATCAGGGGCGTCATTTGAGGGGGGTTAGGGTGTGCGGTAGCACCCCTTAATTTTAAAATGGTTCCAATTGGCCTGCGCCCCGCTGAAGCCTAAAATAATGCACGAGCCACGAATGCACAATTATTAATATGATTAATATTAAATTGTATTTTAATTTTTATATTGACAACTTAATGAAAGATTATCAGAACCAACCAATAACTTGTTTAAGTTATTTGAAATTTTTTACCTTTCTAGTCCCAATTTTTTTAATCCAGATAGCCTTTATTTAAAACTATTTATAAACCATTATAGTTATTTTAACTTTAATGAAATTCAAATTTCTTCTGAGTTTCCACCAGTAAAAGCACTATTTAATGAGAAACATGATGTTGATTTGGACACCATAGCAATATGCCTAAAAGATTGTCCAATCGCTTTTGTTGAAACTTTAAAAATTATTTCATTGGTAAAAACTTTACCAATTACAATTTACAAAGGCATCAAATAAAAGGTTTTTTTCATTATTTAAAAGAGTTAAGTCATATTTACGCATTACCATGGGTGATGAAAGGCTAAGTGATTGGATGATACTTAATGTTGAAAAAAGAAGTTAACAATATAAATTTAGAAGAAGCTGTAGATAAATTCACTAAACTAAAAAATCGACGATATCCGCTTCTTTAAATTTAAAATATTTTTTTTCTAGCTCTTTGCTTTTTCCAAAATTATAATAATTATGAAAATAAACGACAATTTATTAATGTAGATATTAAGTCCTTTTTTTATTTGCTGCTGCATTAATTCTTCTAGCTTTTTACAAATCAATTATTATTGGTTTTCACTGTTAAGGTAATTCATTATTTATTATATTTTAGTTTCTTAATAAATTGATATTTACTATTTATTTTGACGCAATGATTCCGAATTGATTCGGTCCTTCCTCATAAATCATAATGTATAATGATAATGGAAATAATTGAAAACCGGATAATGTACATATATACGTATGTATATCTATTTTTATATGGCCTAGTGAAATTTCAAAATGGCCTGCTTGAAACCTCGCACACCCGAAAAAAAACCTGAAATGACGCCCCTGGTTTTTATCCTGAGGGCGCACGCCGCACGGGTTTATTTCGGTGGGTATTTTCCAGTGGACTTTTTATACGAGGATGACGTATTAATTTGTTCCGTGATCTTTTTTACCGACTACTAATCTAGCCACGTCATATTTTCGATTTTAGCATTATCCCTTCGAAATGTCTGTAAAATAGTAAAATATATTATTTCATATTTTTATTTGAATCAGAAATTATTTTCCCGCCACCTGCCTTACTATGACTATCACGCTATTTATCATATGTATATTATCATGAGTTATTATTATCAACAACAACATTGTATTTTTTTCATTCAAAAACTTGATAACATAAATGAAAATCAGAAATCTTAAAAACAATATGACATAATATGACAATAAAACTTAAATTTTTTGGCGTTTCCTAGGTATTTAAGTTTTGTTTTTTTTTTTTTTTTGTATAAACGCATCCACGCAATTTACTTTTGGTGAAGTTATTTTTACTATTAATTAGGTACCTTTTATTTCTACTTAAAACATAAATTATGAACAATGTTTTTGTTGTGCCTATCGCTCTTAAAATAGTTCGACTTGGTTTCAAGGATATATCAATACGTTGCCAGTAAGTCACGACGCAATTGTTATTTGATATTTTTAAAAGATAAATTGTAAATATTAATATTAATAATTATTCTAACTATAAATACCTAACACTGGATAAATTCTGAACGTCTAGTAACATCAAGATTTCAGATTTGCTGGTTGGTATTCATATTTTTTTCCTGTACTCGTATGACCTATGTCCTATATGACCTGTGCCCTGTACTCATGTCTTTACTCTTTTATCTGAGTTATTATTTATAATAATATATTTTTTTGGAAAAACTATCTAGAAATGTACAGTTATTTAATTACTTACACTCTTCAGCAGTAGCGTATCTAGGATTTTTTCAAGGGGGGGGATATAAAAATTTTGTAATGTGTAAAAATAATAATAATAATTAGTAGGTATCATAATCTAGTATAGTTTAATTTCTAAAATCTAAAACTACCTAATACAAACTCTAAAAACAACAACCGATTGGAACTTTTATTAATTATCATTGATCACGGACTTCAGTTAACTTACAACAGTCGTGTATGATTCAACTATTCTGGGTATTGTGTTAATATTTAAGTTGAGTACCTTATTCTACCTAAATTAAAATGTATTTTTTTCTTGACGCTTGTTTACATTAATCTTTTAATTTGATCAAAATATGACTGGGTTGACAAAAAATAAATGGGTTGTGTGGCTAAAAATATTAAATTAACGCAAACTGCTCAAGAATCGAAAATAATTTCCGGTATGTTTAATAAACAGATAAAACTTGAGGTGATAACTAAGCAATAAAAAAAAATATATTTTTATTTAAGATAATATTAATTTGTAAATATATTGTATACCAATATAAGAGTAATAGAGTATGGACAATAAGTGAGGAATCAGGTAAAATTGATTTATAGATAATGCAGTTGATATATTTTCAAAAAAAAGAAGATATCCTAATAAACTACTAATATTTTCGTTTATCAATATAAATATAGCCGTATAATAGTTTGCAGACATTTAACTGATATATGTATACAATTGTTTTTTTTTAAATGTCTGCTACCTTATATTTAAAAATTATGTTACCTAGTTAATAAAAAGGGTACCATAAACAAATTTAAGCAGATAATATGTAGTTGTGAGCAGTTTTTTTTTACCCATTCATCGGGCTGGTCAAAACCTTTGCCCCCTCTATTGAAAAACGAAATGATGCCACTGGTTGTATGATATTATTGAATTTAATACCATTCATTTTCGTTCATAGGTTAGGTTTTAGGTGAGCTGTTCAATCTTCATACAACTATCAAATAATTGTTTTAATAAAATTAAAAAAATTAAAATAACCTTCCCGGGGGGGGGGGGGTATGACCCCCATATCCCCCCCCGTAGATACGCCACTGCTCTTCAGCATACTAGTATGACTCTTTCAATATTATTACATCATATTTCATTACATTATTTATAGGTATCTTTACAGCGACCAAGTTGTCTGATGTAGGTTGTCTTAATTTTAAACAGTACCTATTGAGTTTTAAATAGTTTTATTGGAGTACTTAACCTACCTATTTACTCTTTCAATTTTCCATACATTTATTAGCTACATATTTGTTTATTGATTTTCGTCACATAGTACAATCATCTACAAAACCCATTCTTTTAATTTCTATATTTATAAATCCTGCTTTTTGTTGGTACTCGCCCTGATGACTTTTTTTTAAATGTAAATCCTCGTATCTCCTTTATTATTTTTTTTTTTTTTTATTCTTTTATTTATTTATTTTTTTTTTTTTTACAAATGGAAACTTCACTCTGATGTGATTGCCTCATAATATTAGTATCCTTGTATCATTTCTTTTGTTTGTAAATCTTTTTAAATTATTCTCACGAGAACTACCTATTTTATGTTTCTTACTTTCTAAAAGTATTTGTTATAAGTTGTGTTTTGTCTTAATTGAATAATAATATAAATTATGTTTAATTCTCAATAGTATACCTAAATGCATGTCGTAAAAACAAGTTTACTATTTTTTAAATATTACCTAAATTATATTTTTATCATTAATTAGATCATCAAAACAAAATTTGTCTTCATACTATGACACATTGAACCTGAAACCAGGATGTACAAAAAAAGAAATACGTAACTCATTTATTAAATTATCTAAATTGGTAAGTATTTACTTATCTTTATTTTAAAATGATTAACATAAGTTACACTTAATATAAATACAGTCTGTGCCTATGTTTTCTAGAACCATCCAGATGTCTGTGGTCCTTCTTCTAATAATAGATTTGTACGTATAAATGAAGCATATAATGTATTAATAGATGAAAATAAGAAAAAGTTATATGATGAAACATTGGTATACACTAAGAATAGTAATCCAATCTATTATCATTACCGGGAACGTCAAAATAGGTTAGCAAAGGGCAAAGCAAAACAATTCTGATACCATAGTAAATTAATGATGCCTAATAGGCCATAGTCGATGTAGGTATCCTATAAAAATTGAATCATTTCAAATGTTATAGTAAAGTAAATTGAATTTGAACTACCTCTTTTAATACTTATCTAATTAAATCTAGAAATACCAACAGAATACTTGTCCCGTTTAACTAATTACAATTAGAAATTACAATATTCAATTAGATTTTTTATACAAATTTACGTTTGTGATCTTTATTAGTGAAAATTGGAAAGATGTATACAATAATCCAAAAAACCATTGGCTAGCATCAAATATTGCTATTGCAGGTGTCTGTCTTTCTATACTAGTTGTTGGATCCAATATTCGATATAAGGGTATGAAGTAAGTACATAAAGTTTTTATATTTTAGTAATTAGTCAATATATATTTTATCATATTATAATTCATAAGATCATAACCATATTATATACCTACCTACTAATACATTCAAGGATATTTGATAATTAATGTAATGTAATATTAATTATATTAGTATCTATTATTTTAATTATAATTATATTTTGATTAAGGATTACTTATTATATTATTAATTAGGTATATTAGTTTAATTAACACAATTTTTTGCATTCTAACAATATTATTGCATCCTATCAAACCATTTTTTTAGAACCTATTGAATCTTAAAAAATTAATGAAATAGTAGTTATTAATGTCGTATATTATATTTTTTTTCTTAGAAAATCTGCCTCAATGCGAAGTTTATTGATGGATGAATCTGATGAACGTTTGTCCTTTTTAGAAGAACAAAAATTAATGAAAATTGATAAAACCAATGATGAGCTTATAAAACTGTTTGAACAAAATATTGCAAAAGAATATGGTCGTGTCGTAAAAAAATAATTTTTTGTTACCTTGTATTATTTGCTTATAGATTATTATTGTTAACTTTTTAATATTTTAAATAAATTTGTTGAATTTATACAATATTTAAACCTACATATTTCAGTATTTGTATTTTTTGATACTATAAATATAATAATATATTAGTTATCAGTTATCACTGACAAATTACAATAGAAAAGTTATAACAAACCTATAATTTCAAAAAATGTTCTAACAAAAAAATTGAAAATTAATTACTAATGATTTGTGAAACAAAAAAAAATAGTCAAACCAGTAGCAAATATGCATTTACATAGATATATGTGTATTTTAAAAAGGAATATAGCATTATTAATAAAAAAGTTTAGACCTGTTAAAAATGTCTAGTTATATCCCTATGTCAATAATACTACATTCATCATTCATAATTTCAAAACTTCATAAATTATCTTTACAATAAAGCATTATTACTCAGAGCTTTCAAAAATGGAAACTTATGTTTTACTGTGACATGTGGGTAGAGTTGCTCTAAAATGCAAATGTCATCAAACTTTCATAAATTATTAGAAAAATAATTTAAATTCCCATTATAGTAATATTTTTTTTGAATGTAGCTTTTCTTTAATGGTAAATGTAGATGAAAGAAATTATCTGTTAGTGAAAATGGTAAAGTCAGAATCAGAATAAGAAAAAGTATTAAAAAATGTCATGTGTCATTTAAATTTAAGAAAAAATTTAAGCACCATATAAAAAATAAATATACAATAATGTGTTCCTGGCAAAGTGACCGGCCAACGTAATATGAAAGTATACCAAAAATTAAGAAATACCCTTTAAGTGGGGGAGGGGTCTTAGTTTTATTTTCTAAATTATGGGCAATCAACTTTATTGGTATTCGTTTAGTATGTGACCTACCAGACCGCGTGACCTACCGTATTGGGTATTCATTTAGTATATGATCCACAGGACCATTAATTAATTTAAAAACAGTTAAATTAAAAATCATAAAATTATGTTAATAATTATTTAACTAATATATTAGTAATACAATATACAAATATAAAATAATACAGGATTACATTTAACAATGTCAAAATGAGTTAAACAAAATGAATGAAGACACATAGGTACTGTATAACAGCAATAGGTATGTCAAAACTATTCAATAGATTTCATAAAATTATGTTGTTATAAAAGAGTTTTATTTTATTTAAATTATATTTTTAGAAATACACTTTGTATTTTACTTAAATTTCAAAAATTCATCTTACCTGTTAATAGATCAGTACCCGTACATAATATAGATAATCGTCTTGGTAGGTCACATACTAAACTCGATTTTAACTCTGTTGGTCACATACTAAACGAATACCCTTTATTTTATCAAAACCAAGCCTATCAGCATTTGTTTGTGTATCTTCAAAACTTTTCAACATTTTGACGTAGATTTTTTTTTTACTTTAAAGCTATTTAATTGTCCTATCAATCATGAACCAACATATATTCAATTGAACCAGGAATATCCAAATTATTTTAATTAAATTCAAAAAGTAATCATTTTTTATCTAAAATTAGTATTTTTAAAAGTAAATCTCATATTATTCTAAATAATTTATTGTTTATTACTAGTTTTTTATTTTTTGTATTATTCTACTGAATAAAACAATTTATCACATATCACGTTTTTATATATAATTTCAAAGTTATGATTTTAATTATTAAAATAATACAATAATATTCCTAGTGTATTTTTAATATTCTTTACATTTCATTACCAATATTTTCCCCTCGTAAAGTCAGAACAATCAGACCCCCAGGTCCGACGTCTTTCAAAGGAAGCAGATCTAAAGGTAATAGAACTATAAAAGGTAAATATTTTTGTTCAATATTAATTTTGCAAGTAAGATCTCTGATATTTAAATAAAAAAACTCAAATATTCAATTATGAAGGTTGAACAATTTTCTACCTATTTTTATTTAGTTATGATATTATCTAATTTTGAGGATCAACCAATAATAATTTGACACAAATATTTATATTATTAATACAGTAATACGCCACTAATACTATGTATGTCAAAAAGTACATAAATATTATTAATTTAAACATTTATAAATAAAATAGATACCTACTAATTTATTGATTCATAAAATTTGGTAAATGGCATAATTTTAGAAGTGAATAAAAAATTAGCATTCGGCATTGGTTGACCCAAAGCATCATGAAAACAAAAAATGTATCATACTGTCAAAAAACAATTGTCAAAGGACAAATACATACTTCAATACTCTTTTAAAACAAAAGATGAAAACATTACATAGGTATTTATTATTTTATTCTATTATAGCTAATAATATTCTTTGTGATATTTTAACTATAATTATATATCTACTATACAATATAATACATAGGTATGCTACAAAAAAATATCTATACCTACATAATTATACATTTATACTAATTTTGTAAATATCTACCTTAATTTTGGTTATAACCCTATAACAAAAGAAATTTTGTCGATAAAATATTAAAATATATTTAAAATTATTATATTTTAATTGCTTATGTTTTTAAAATATTTCTTTTGGGTTCAGGGTTAGCCAAAACAACATTACAGGTAGCATTAAGCATATACATGTGTATTGTGTAGTAAGGTATTAGGTAACCCAAATATCAGGTTTCAGATTATTCTGTAAGGCTGTAAGCATAAATAATGGTATCTAATAGATATATTTGACAGGTGTCTTATTAATATATAGGTATGATAAACATAATATATTATACATATATGTATACATTTGTTGTATTCATCCAATATTATTTTATTTATTTTACTGGCTTTGGCTTTTGACAAAAGTATTCATATAAACACTCTTATAGTGATAGATATAAACAATCTTATAGTGACAACATAAGATATGTTATGTACATAGTACATAGACCCATGAACTAATTTATAGGTCTATGATTATATAGGTGTACCTAGGTACCTACAGTTTAATGCACTATAAACATTAACCAGTGATCTCGAATACAATCGCCTGTCCAGAAATGTATAAATGTATAATGGTGGGCCAGATATATTAAAAAAAGAGCTGGGAGATTTTACCATTTTTTTTAACCAATTTAATTTATGTTATTCTAAAAAAACTAAACTTTATTAAGTTAAGTTGTTTCAAAATACAAATTAATTTGAACAATTAAGTTTAGTTGGAAATCGTTTAGGAAAATGTTAACTAAGTTTAATTAAAAGTTGAAAGTCATTTTTTTAAATCAATCACCTTTGTTTGTCATTTGGTAGTTAATGGAAAAAAATATTAAACCAACTATAATTTATTATAAAGGTATACCATACTCTGTACCAAATAAGAGCGTACCGCGCTGGCGCATCCAAATGAATCGCGGAGTGACGTCCGGACCCCCTGGCCGGGTCTATTCGCTCTGTCATTGGTCGCCGTTAGTCGGCCGTATTCGCCGTTGACACTCTACCCTGCCGCCGCTGTAACACTCTGTCAACCTCTGTCATGCGCGAGTTTCGACCGGTTTTCGACCCGGTGCTCTCTTATTTGGTACAGAGTATAGAGTATTAATAGCGCCTAATAGAATCACTAATTAATGATTAATATTTTTATTATAATTTAATTTCCATGTTAAGAGGACGCTATACCCGCTTGTGTTGTCTCCGTCTTACAAATGTACAACATATCAAAAACTATTTTGCGCGGGAAAGAACCGAGAAGGCTACAGTCATAACTAAGAAACGAAATTTTCACCACATAAAAAGGAGAACTATGGCTGTGCAACGTTGTTTTTATTTTTTTGATATCACTTATATGAAAAAAGTTCTTACTGTTTAAAAAAACCGTTATTGTTTGTGTTTTTCAAACTTGAAAAACTTTTTTCATATAAATGATATCAAAAAAATAAAAACAACGTTGCACAGCCAAAGTTCTTCTTTTTATGTGGTGAAAATATCGTTTCTTAGTTATGATTGTAGCCTTCTCGGTTCTTTCCCGCGCAAAACAGTTTTTTGCTATGTTGTGCATTTGTAAGACGGAGACAACGCATGCGGGTATAGCGTCCTCTTAAGTGGCTCGTTGCCGGTTTTTGAAATTTCCCGAATATCTATTTTATATTTTAGTTGCTCCAGCGTATCATGTTTTAAGGAGTAATAATAGTAATATTTAGCAATTAACATGACATAAACATTTGGCATGTCCCGTGGCATTAAATAACACTATTGATAAAATCGAAAAATCCCCTCTCTAAAGTACCATCTTCATCCAATTTGCTAAAAGATAAGGTATGTTGAAATCGAAGCACTACTCTGGTAGAAATTTTGTATACATACAGGATTATACAGGGTGTTTCTGAAACGACTGAGGAAACTAGTATATGCGTACTCAGTGTGATGACCCAATGATGATTTTTTTGAAAATTTTTTTCTACCTTCAAAATCTGGGTTTTTTCAATTTATTTTTAGAACATTATCTTAAATGTAAAAATAAATACTCAAGTTGTATTTTTTGTAAAAATCTCATACGAATCGAGGTGTCACATCATTTTTGAGCTTGTCGAGCGTTTTTCACGCTCGAACCGCCGATTAAAAAAAATGGTGTGGCACATCGATTTGTATGAGAAAACTACAAGATAAACAGTGGTGATAGTTATTTGTTGAAATTTAACATACACGATTAATTAACACATAAATTCGATCATTTAAGACTCTGTTAACCCTAATTATGTTATTATTTATCATTTTTATTAGTTGACAATGTAAAACAATGTGTTAATTAATCGTGTATGTTAAATTTCAACAAATAACTATCACCACTGTTTATCTTGTAGTTTTCTCATACAAATCGATGTGCCACACCATTTTTTTTTAATCGGCGGTTCGAGCGTGAAAAACGCGCGACAAGCTCAAAAATGATGTGACACCTCGATTCGTATGAGATTTTTACAAAAAATAGAACTTGAGTATTTATTTTTACATTTAAGATAATGTTCTAAAAATAAATTGAAAAAACCCAGATTTTGAAGGTAGAAAAAATTTTCAAAAAAATCATCATTGGGTCATCACACTGAGTACGCATATACTAGTTTCCTCATTCATTTCAGAAACACCCTGTATAAAAAAAAAATAAACGCCATTGTAAAATCACCTCGCTACTCTCAGAATCTAAAAAATAATATAATATGATAAATAATTTTCAAACATTAAGAATAATATTACTTTGTTTAATATCACGATTTGAAACAACATAATATATTAAAGAATCTTTTATAAGAATACTGAATAGGTAGGTAGGTATAACTACATTAATTTACTATTGTTTGATAATTATTTGTATTATTTGACTTATCGATCATTCGAAATATTTTTATTTTGAATTTTATAATCTTTTAAATATTGTATATATAGACTATAAGTAAAACTTGTGAAAAACAACTCCTAAAAATAATAATTATAATTATTAATATTTAAAATTCTTATCCATCTATTTCCCAATATAACATCAAATCATTTTCAATTAATAAAAAAAAAAATTGTAAAAAAGTTACTAGTTATTACAGGCCGTTACACACTTTTTAATTTCGCATTCACACTTAGCATTTCGTATCTACTACGCACAATTTTAGTCCCTCTGGTTAAGGTTTAAGGTCAACAATGGTCAATGAATGAATAAAGGCGTTATGTGGTATGCATGATGCCATGATAAGTGTTCATAGGGAAAACATTGAAGATAAAAAACCGAAGTCATTTATAAATTATAATTTGGAAAATTTTTATTTTCACATTAATATTTTAATATACATAGTAGTATAGGCCGAATAGGTATTTTAATAGCTTGCATTCAGCCTTAATATTTTTTTTTAAGTTAATATTATCATATTTACATACTTTGTTCCTACCCTAAAAATTACCATATGGGGGCACCCTTGTCCAATACCATCAAGTGACCATGCGTAGGTACAAAACGATTGTTTAATGTTGGTGGTCAACTGTAAATATAGTTAGACATATAGTATAATATAGCAGACCGCAAATTAAAAAAAAACTTAAGTAAATTGTTCTTGTAATATTTATCAATAATTGTGTAGGTAACTGGTAGGTACCTACCTATTTAATTTGAATTTCTCTAATAGTCTATACCAGTGGCGGTTCTGGTAGTATTTTTTCGGTGAGGCAACCTATGTATCACTCCCAAAAGTGCACTATCACATATTCACGTACCAGCTTCGACCCCACATCAGTGATGTGGCCTTCCAGCACCTCCTCGAATCTCGATGGTGTTGTTTGAAAAGTGAATCCTCCAACTTTAGGTTTATCTTGTTAAGTGACATTATGCCAAGTTACTGTTAATGCAGTACCATTTTCCATGTAATAAATGTTCGAATGGTTTGATGAACTTAAATCAAAATTGGTCATTAAATGTGCTATGTATTGAGTGGCTGATAATCATGGATGTATTCTCCTAAATATAAAAACTTCCAGTTGCAATTGTAGTAGAGTTTATGATTTTCGGAATCAAAGAAGTTTGACAATATTGTGAGTCTTATAGTACGTGTGACGTCGAATAATAAATTGTGAATGAACAAATATTCAGATTTTTTTTACTTTTTTTTGGAGCAAATCATTTATCTCCCAGACGACGGGTATAACACTATAACGCGCGTAGCTGCAGCGAGTGAGTACTAATCGGCCAGCAAGATTATATGATTTTAGGCCTGTCTATTTTTTTAAAGACTAACAACGATTTTTTTCTGAAAACTAGATTTACAAATTGTCTTTTTTAATTTTTCAAAAAAAATTATATCAGATTTAAAATTTTTAGTTTCAATAGGTGCTTATTAAAAAATAAAAACAAAAAAATTTTTAATTTAATTTTTATTTTGTCCAGTCTAATAATGTTTAGGTGAGGTATTTGTAAATATTTGTACACTTCAACTTTGTATACTTCAACTTCTGTTAATTATTCTTTTTGGATTTTGAAGCTCTGAGCCATGAATGTATATTGGTTTTACAATAATATATGTTTTTTGTTGTCTGGAGAAGCCAAAAAGGCCTATACAAAAAGTATAGGTAGTAAAACAATTCTCTGAATATCAACTTCGATAGAGTTTGTTCATTGTTGGTAGAAAATTGGATCTAGTATATTATATATTACCTATATAATAATAAATTATATACTAGGTTCTATAAATCCAAAATTTTTAATTTACTAAGAAAAAACTAAATATATGGTAGGTAGGTATCTATAGTAATAACAATAAAATAAACTAAGATGGCATTTTTTAGATCTTTGAGATCTAAAGTTTACATTACAAATGCAAATTTTACTCACAACATGTAAGTCTCAATCATAGATTTATGTACCTGTAGAAATATGTGATTAACAATTAACATCAATAAAAATGATTAACAAAACATCTATTTTTGTATAAAAAATAGGTACCATATTGTTCAAACATATACATAAAGCCAATAGAAACAGTTAAATACTAGAAAAGCTGCAGGAAATGCAATACGACTGCGTTGATCAATCCATTGAGCAATCTCTTGTGGAGTTAATGTAAACAGACCTCCACCACTGCCAGTCTTATTATCATTCAACGATGGTACCCGGATACTAAAATTTTCAAGAGGCTCTGGATTGGTGCATACGGCAGGGCCCACATCACCAACAGTCAGCAAACTCCTTGATCTCTTTAAAAAATAAAACAAAAATCGTCAAAATCAAGTGATAGTTCTTATGGTACCTACATTTATAGATAGTTACATAATATGTAATCACTTAGTAATTATAAATTGAAAAAAGGTCTGCTGTACATAAATTGTAAACTATTATGGATGTGTTAAATTTGAACTCAATAATATTAATAGTATATCAATGTTTACGAAAAACGATCTTGAATAAAGGCGGTTCGTCAACTTATAATCTATCTAATAATCTATATACATTATACCTATATAAAAATGAATGTTTATTGATCTGTCTATTACTCTGTTAGCTATAGATACTCAAAAACTACTAAACCGTTTTCTAAGTTCTATCAATAGATTCCTTGAGTCTGGGCTGGTGTTCATAGCGTATTTTACCTTTAGGTAGCTAAAGGGTATCTCACGTCTCAATCATTAAAATAGTTTTTGGCTCACAAAAAAGGAATATTAATTTTTCTTTATTTGTTGAATTGCCAATGGTTACATATTATTTCACTATTATGCTTAGGTAGTAAAAATATTTTTTTTTCGTCTCAATTTCCATGAGAATTTATTTTTTTCTTAATCTATTTTTGGAATCTTGTAAAACTGTGTAATTTTTTAGAGAATTTAATTATCAATAAGGAATCTATTATACCTAGTTGTTAAAGGGTCAAAATCATTTCAAGTCATTGACTGTATACCTACTTGGCTACCTATATTATGTGGTGCCGTCACCATATGTGTTTGGCTTAATATCTATTTATCTAGTAAAAAAATTAAGGATTACGAGGAAAAACGATAGTAGTCAATATTCCTAAAATGTTCGGTATTGCAGTTTTAAAGGGAACTCTGGCCTTTTTTTACCGTTATGGTAATTTTAAACCTGTATTATATCATTGACCGTGATCTTTTTTCCATAACTCGATTCACGTGTCGATTCGTTATAAACTAACCAAAAGGTACTATAATTATTTGATTTTTTCTTTCTTTTGACTATGATCGTTTTTACCCGCAACCCTTCAAGTAAATAATAAGACAACTTATTATTAATTAGTTCCAAGTTATGAATGGTTAAAAGTGAGTATAATGAATAGCCAGTAGACACCATAGGCGTGTGGAGACATTGGCTTCAGGGCCCATGAGATTAATGCTGGTCATTTTCTAATAATCTATTTTAAAAATAGGGCTTTTTGTGTACGTTTTCAAAATAGGTCATACAAATTGAGCCTAAGTACTAGTGTATATAATAAACAAAATTTTTTTTTTCATGAGAACCCCATTAAAATCCAAAATTAGGGCAATTTCTACATATTTTCTAAAAAAATATAAAAAAAAGTTTTTAATTATAAATTATAATGTACATTGCATATAATTTGCATAATATAATTTTATGGAAGTAAATTTACATAGTTCAATATTTGACGACTGTCCGAAAAAAATTTCAGGGACTGCACATGCTGCATCTGCTGTCCCGGTGCGGGTGCCCGTGGCCCATGCTAGCCACATGTCCTGCGTGGAGTCGTGGGGAAGGGCAGAAGACCCTCACCTGCTGTAGGCGACATGTTTCATTTTATAGGCCATAGATAATTTATTGGGTAGTTTGGTAATTAATTTAGCTATTATTTTTTTCTAAACATTGTATAGGCGTATAGGCAGTATAGCACGGGTAAGTGTTTGTATGAGTGAGTCGTGAGTGTATGTCGTACTATGATATTTAGATATATATTTTCAAATTTATTAGACTGATAATGCGTATGGGAATATGTATTATACTTACGTTATCTCTTCTATTTAATTTTCCACTCATCACTGTTGGACTAGCACCGGTAGCACCTCTGTCAATACCGCTGTCCACGGATACTGACTTGCGTTGCATCTGAGGCGTTAATGTTGACTTAAAAATATGTTTACTATTGACTTTTTTCAGTTCCACGTTTGTTCTATTGCAATACCATTTACATCGTAAACGTGATTGTGAATACACTAATTTATTGTACTTTATATGAGGAATATATTATGTTTACATATTAGATATCGCAGGGCCGAATATTACTCTATGACTGAGTATGACCACGTCACTTTCATAGGGTTGACAGTACTGCCAGTACTGGTTAGCATGACAAAGAGCATTGGGGGAGTCCCCGATTCGTTAGGACGTAGGCACGTATAGCGTATAGTTGTATTATAAATAAAAGTATTAATTATGAATATAATTGAATTATGGTAGTAAAAATGTATTTTAGGAAGTAATAAATTGGTAAGTGGTCCCGATAATTGGAATGGTTGGGGCCTTGACAGGGTTAATCCGGCCCTGTGGATATGTAATCAGGTATAGGTACTTTACTTCCGTCTCCATATGGTGTTGACAAATGCAAACTCAACCAACGAACCGAATATGAATGCCGTGCACACAATAAACCATATCTCAGTAGCTTTAATGTAAGAAACTTTTGGTAACGAGCTACCGATGTTTCTGGACAGTGTAATGAATGTTAACATTGTACTGGTACCTGAATTATATTCACACATAATATGACATAAGTATCGTGTGGGTATTAATTTTAAAATTAAAACATTTTAACAAATGTCAAATGAGTGTATGGTGTATTAATAAATACACCAACAATCAATTTGATTAATGTACCTATGTAATACGATTTTTATAGTTTTAATTTGTTATTATAATTATTTATTGAAAAAATTAGTTTGAATTACAAGTATAACCCACATATGCACATTATATCCTGTAGATGTAGGTATAGCAGTCATCATTAAATTTCTTTTAATACATAGCGTATTAAAATATAATTGGGTTATAGTAAAAACAATCTTAAATTATGGATGTTTAATAAAGAGATATATTTACCTAATGTTGTGCGACCAGGTACTGCATTTGGGTCTAACCAAAAAGATACCCATGATACAACTACAAGCATTATACTTGGTACATAATAGTCCATTATGTAGTGACCAACTTCACGTTCTAATTCAAAGTTAACTATTAACTGACTATAGTTCCCAGCTTTTGACAAACAAAAAATTAATAAACTATTAAAAAACATATTTTTTTTTAAATAAAACAAGTAGTTATGTTTTATTACATGGGTAAGTATTAAAGTTGTAACATAAACAGTATAAAATATAAATAGTTTAATACTATCAAATGAATATAGTATAAGGTATTAAGGTTGATAGCAGTGGAGCATCTATCCATAGGGGTGGATATGGGGGTCATAATGGTCATAATGGTCATATCCCCCCGGAGACCAAATTTTGTACACAATCCAACATGTATAATATGTATATAATAATATAAATATATTATGAGTATACCTACTGAATGTCTATTAAACATTGTATATCCCTCCTTGAAAAAATCATAGATACGCTACTGATAGGTAGTATTTTTATAACTATTTTACTAAACTAAAGCTGGGTTGCAATCCCTAAACCAGTTGTACACTTGTACCAGTTTAAGATTTAACCAATCAATAGTGAACTACTGCAAAACCCTTAAACATGATTTAGTGGCCCATGCATGGTCAATGGATGGTCCATTAAATTAATCAACTTTTCATGGAACCTGGCATAATAAATTATATTATTATATATTAAAGTTCATTAGAGCCAATGTGGCCTATCATAGATAAATTATTAAACAGCCAAAGTATTATGTGATGTAGTATTTTTATATTAGGCCAAAAATGTTGAGTTAAAATTGAAATACTCCTCTACACACTACATTTTTGCAGAAAAAGGTTTTTTTGGGGAGAGAGAACGTATGTTTGAAACTTTTAAGTTGTTTTTATCTTTGTTGGTGAAGTATATTAACATTAAAAATTCATGCGTTCTATTTAGACTATAATTATATATAATTATTAATTACCTATACTTTCAAAAATTAAATTAGTTTACCAAATTTTCCATAGTAGTGTACATGTTCAACAGATAATGGTGAATATTCTTTTTTTTTATCGTGTTTATCTTCAGACGGTAACAACGCGTATTCACTGACCGTTTCGTCTGTCCAGATTGACACTAAGTTGTATTCAGTCATTCGCAAATTGCTATTCAGTACAGCAGGAGAATCGTGTTCCCACACCAACTCCAAATGAGTATTGTTATAAGTCCCTGAAAATATAATAAAGTCTACATTTTGGCATGCATACAACATCATTGGTGTACATAAAATGTAAAAACAAAATCAAATAGTCTACAAACAGCTTTCCAGTATCAAAGGACATGTTTGTTGATCAAATGGGAATTTTTGTAAATTCATCATGCATAATAACGACACTTTTAACCTACAAACAAATATTTACTTCAATTCGATTACTATTATAAAGTATAGTGCAGTTAAAATTGATGTACAATTATTATTGTGTTTTACGACCTAGCTGAATACAAAACTGTTCCATCCGGTTGAACCGTGACTAGTATGTCTTGACGGCCGGATCCCATTATGTTTGAATCGTGTTCATTGACGATGTAAACATGTGGAGTCCATACCCGTTCCTTAAGTTTGTTCTCGCCCTGTATAGAAGACTTTGAAGAAGAATGTACAAGCCGATCATCCCGCCACCGATACCGTATCAATAAATGGGCAGTGAAATGCTGAATTTTAAATATACAAATATTATAAGTTTTTATAATATCTATTAGACAGTAAGTTGTAATACTCGTAAACACACATAATCACTTGTACACGGGGTAGTCGTCGAAGTATTGCTTAATACAGTATTACAGACTGCAGTACATTTACGACCGTCGACCACCCCATACATTAAGTATCTATTAAATAATAGGTAGGTACCTACATAATATTATATCAACTTCAATCAGCTGACTAGGTACCTTACAAGGTATTGTTTACCAGTTTGAAAAACAAAGAGAAGGATACAATATTATTCGATAGAACAATACGTCATAATATTAATTATTGTATGCAACTATAGTCTGCTGGTATTCTAGTAATGACTGCGCACTGTTATTGTATAAATTATGATATTATATCGTGTATTAATTATTTTACTAGGTAAAATACAAGTGTTCAATAATAAAAGTACAAATCCACAAAGGATAGGTTATATTTATATGAACGAAAACTATACTACATTTGTCACGATTTTTTTAAATTTAAATAGGTAATAATATAACCTGTCGAAAATGAACCGACTACATCTGTCTAAAACGGAATATTTGTTATGGACGAAGAATGACGATAATCTATAGACCATATTATATTATAAAGCTCATAATACCTATTACCTATAATTATATTGTCTAAATGTATCATCCACGCCCTGGGCGTTGGTAAAAGAACTTAAAAAATTGTTGTTAATATTATAATTACAACGTTCATTCATGAATTATGGTGGACCTTAAAGCTCTTAATTGTACTAACCAACTGTTGGGCCTCTACTGATCCTAAAAAGTATACATATACTCGAGCAGACACACGCGTAGGTGTTCCGGTTTTACTGTTACCGTCTGGTGGTATTGGTCTTGTCCAACGATCGTACCGACATGGATCTGTTAGCCACATGAGCATTTCTACACGATTACCACCGTCTGCGGTATTATCATCACTGCACGCCCTAATGAAAAATATGACGATAGATTTATGACAAGTATTTTATAATCCTTAATGTTACGATTTAAGTGTGAACTATTTTGATAGTTTAAAGTTTTTTAGTATAGGCACTTATTAGAATAAATTGGAATCGCGTAGATATAGGTGAATAATGAATACAATTTTCATTTATCGGTTATTCATAATATCGAACAGGCAAGTCAAACGAGCGGCCTTCAACTCTTTTTTTGTGGCCGTGGCCCATGGCCATATTCATTAGAAAATCAAGTGAAAATAATAAAATATAGCTTATTTGATTTTTTTATTATTATTAGAGATATTAATTATTATGTCTAATAAATAATTGAAATACAGAACACTTACAATTTAATTATTCTTAATTTTGTCTTAATGAATAAAATTATAAAGAATGTTTGTGAAATATTTTTTTTAACATAAATATGTTTTTGGGCTGGCTACAAGATTTTTGTTTCTGGCTGATTTTTGTAAGGTTTTCGTTGTCATGGTTACTTATTAACAAAAATATATTTATGATTCATATACATTTTCCTTGTAGACGAAAAATATTGAGTAGCGTGCCATGATTTTTAATAAGATATTTTTTGCTCCTCGCATAATATAGTATTATTTTCTATGTATTCGGCCCAGTTAATACTTTGAGTTTGACATGACTGATATACGAATATATATAAACGAATTAGTTAAACATATTTGACATAATTTATGGTTTAAAAAATTCTAATATTTGCAAATTCATCGTGGCATTGCATTTCTAATACTTTATTATGTAGGGCGTAGGCAGACAGAAAGTATAGGTTTTAGGTATATATAGGTACTATAATGTCTATAATATAGTTACCTATTAGGTCCCTATAATGTACCTACGTATAAATGTTTAAAGTGTTGTTTTAACATTAAAAATAAAAACTGTGTGTAAATTCAAAAATAAAAGAAAACCTAAATGGGTGATGGGTCATTTAAATGGGCCTTCACTATAACTAGATGCAGTAGGTAGGTACCTACTACCTATAATGCAATAATGTACAGATCTACTAAAAACACAATATAATATATGTACAATATGGTAGGTACATCACCCACATGCATGATATATAATACATTTACATTAAATATGGATTATTTTATTGCATTAGAATTATTATTTACTATTCTGTTGATAAAAATGTACTGTTTGTGATTCTTGTATGTGATTATCCATATGTTTTCGAATGAGATTTGTGTTGGCGCATTGGTTGTTTGCATAGCTAATATGTTTTCTAGTAGGTATATACTATATCATATATTTATTTCACATTATTTTCTTTTAGCCTACGTCGTTTATTGCGTGTCAATATTAATTAATGGCTAATTGATGGGTAAAATTATTTTGACGGCGGTTTGGTTCTTAAAAAGGGTGTGTTCATAAGATAATAATTTTAATAATATCAGGAAACCAATTCTGTGTCCCACTGTATAATATATCTACTCACTGGATACTGGATAGATTCAACACTCACCTTGCTCGAGACTCAAAATATTTATAATCGTTGTCGGTAGGAAAATCATATAGTATTGTAGATACCTACATCAAAACTGATTTGAGTTTATAAAATATATTCGCACTCGATTTAAGGCCGAGAATAAAATATTAATTCCGAAAAATTCTCTGCGGCGCATGGCTATACGTATAAGCCACCATTATGCGCATTATAAATTATATTTCGTTTGACCATGGAACAAACGAAATTAGACGACTCTGTGGTCGTAAAAACATAAAAACTGGCAAAGAGAATATACTTTCTGGCAGTGTTGGGAAACAGGTAGTTTTAATCAGGCCATCGAACATAATATTATTATATTCTATGATCAGGTTAAATATATGTCAGAGCATTCGACGAGGGCGTTGCTAGCTTCCGCAGCAGGGTACGCCGACGAAATAGGTCGCACTATAAATGATTATAATAATATGGTCATTGGTCACCCGAACCATCTAAATATAAGCCTATAAATCGTATTAAAATATGGGTATGTGACGTGTGCTGGACTTACGGTTGGACTGTTTGAATGCAAAACGCTGTGTACACTAATACGGTTACGGCTTGCAGTGTCCGAAGACCGCGACCGCGGTATCCGATCATCACGACACCGCCACCCACGAGCGTCTCTGAGAAATTTGTCCGGTGCACTGCGTGTCATATGTGCCTACATCACCATCGTCGGGTGCGCGCGTACGCGTAAATATAAAATATGTAAAATATAACGTAAACAATAAAAAAAAAACCGAACTAAAGATAAACCAAACGATAGTAATATTATATATTATATTATATTGTAGTGCGAAGAAACTGGATGTGTTAGATAGGTAGGTAAGTATCTATAATATTACGAACTTGGGTATAATATTATACATTTATACGGAAAATATCATACTTTGCCCGAACGCAATAATGTTATCGCGACGTTTGTGCCGCGTGTCATCCACCGGCCGCTGAGCGCGTGCGTAAAGGCGTACGACATAAATGTATAATAATATATCGTATTAAACATGATAATATGTATGCACATAATTCCTGTACGGCCGCATATTACACATTTACACGTATTATGTATACCGCGGCGATCCCATTCATTACACAGCCGGCGCGCCAAACGAAATTCGTTTGTTCCGACGCATATGCATGCGACGACGCCGCGTAGACGGTGACGAATACACATAGGTACCGCGTATTTTCACTATTATTATTATTATTATGATTATTGTTATGCTTATGCAAATATAATTGTACCTACCTGTGTATGTTTATAATAACATAATATAATATGGCGGAGACACAACCACCGGAGATAACTGCACGTATAGCCATGATATAGGTATCTATACCTATACTGCAGGCGTAGGCGAACGCAAGTGTGAAGAGCGGTCATCGTCGTCGCCGCCACCGTAATTACACGAAATAATATACGATTTGAATAATTAACGAACGGCCGCGAGACCGTCGTTTTCCTAATTTCCAATTTATGCGTATGTATAGTGTACCCATACATTGTACCTATATTTTTGTTATAATTATATAATAATATAAACATGCGCGAATGGAGTGTAGGTATATACCACGCGCTCCGTACAGGTATTGTTGTGATAATATTATAATATAATATATACATATGTGTATAATATAATCACGTGTGACGTTATAGGTAGGTAGTAGGTACCTGCTCTACTACATATTATTGTGAGCACGTCGGTTCTGAGGTATAATATTTTGACAATAAGCGTAGGAGCAGAATTTCGCAGGTATTACACATATATTATGCAGCAACGCAGTGGCGCCGAAACCAAAAAAATGAGGTAGGGCTAACTTTCAAAATTATGAGACACCACCACCCCCTGACCAATAATATTTGACGTTTACAAAAAATATTTGATTCACCAGTATAGTTTCCCTCTATAACACATTTTTAGATTCTGAGTGAAACGATGAATGTATTGATTTTACAATGATGTGTGTTTTTATATTTTTTTATTTTTTTATTTTTATTTTTGTGTCTGTGTACACGATAAGTAGTCGAAATAATGCTTCGATTTTCGACTTCAGTATCTTGTTCGATTGGAAAGTGAATATCGTTGGTGTATTGAGGAGGTCAATTTAGGAGGTTTAAAATTCACAGTACTTTTCAAAAGCGCCAAGAAAAACAAAAGAAAATTTAAGGAAAAATGGGAATTTTTACCCAAAATCGATTTTTCAGAAAATTGAATTTGGTTTTTGGTGTAACTTTAAAACAAATGACCGTAGATACATGAAATTTTCACTGGTTGTTTATATTTGCATTTTCTATACACGATAACATTTTCAAAATATTTTGATTTATTTTGAACTGTTTAGGGACATTTTCATTTTTCATTTTTTTTTAGTTTTTTTTCTAGAAATATCAATAAAATTTTATTTGTTGGTTAAAAAAACTTGAAAATTTAATAGAAGGCCCTAGTATATTGTTTCAAAGGCAGATGAAAAATATTAAAAATCGTTAGTCACAGTTTTTTTTTATAAGCATTAGTTCAAAAATTGACAAAATATGGAAAAATCACGAAAATTAGCAAATTATTTTGAGTTAAGAATTCGTAAAAATTTTTCTTTTTAAATCTAAGATTTGAAAATGTAATACAAGATTACTCATAAGTTTGTCTACCTTTATCAATAAAAAAATCTCTACCGGACAGGCAAATTAAATTTTTATGAGCGTTTGAAATTCAAATTTTTACAACATTGGATGTTCACTCGATATCTCATGTAGCGATTTCCTTATTTTGTTGTTATTCATAAACGAATAACTATAGATACATGAAAATTTCACTGAATGTTTATATTAGTACTTTCTATACACCATACAATTTTGAAAATATTTTGACTCTTTTTGAGCTGTTTACGGATATTTTCATTTTTCAATTTTTTTAGTTTTTTTTTCTATGAATATCAATAAAGTTTTATCTGTTGGGCCAAAAAGTGTAAAAATGTAATACAAGGCTCCTGGTATATTGTTACAATATCAGTTGAAAAATATTAAAAATACATAGGCACAATTTTTTTTTATAAGCATTTAAACATCGAATTTTGACAGAATTTTTCAAAATCTCGAAAATTGTTAATCATCGTAATTAATAAATTATAAAATGTTCAGTTTTTATAGCTAAGGATTGAAAATTTAAAACAAGATTCCACGTAAGTAGTTAATTCTCTTACCGAAAAATCTAAAAAATATACAATCACAGTTTATTTTTATAGTCATTTTATGTTCAAATTTGGACGAAATTACATATTAAAAAACCTAGTTATTTTGTTGTGATTATATAATATTATTCGTGGGTACCTACTTGAAACTTCTAAAGTGTACTATTATATATCTATGATAGTATCAGGGTTTGTTATTGATGTTGATGTATAACGTGTTATAAGTACCTAATGGATATTGTGATAATGTGATATGATTAATTTGGAATTTATTATAGATCAATTTTTTATTTAATACCATAGATATGTATATAATTTGTCTTAAACCTAGACTGACATACCGTCTTCGCTCAGAATCGTTTTTCTTATACAATGATATTGTATCATTGAATTCAAATTTAATACCATCCATAATACAGTGACCCACTTGTAACCTACTGTACAGCAGAGTGACATCCACTTAACCACCTTTATATTAGGTAAACCTTATCAGTAATCGTCTTACATACTTTTATTTTGGATTGAAATTATACCAACATATTATACATAATTCCAAATTGACTTACTAGACACTAGTTATGTTTTAAAATATAACTTATAAATATTTTATGCTTACTATGGTTTGCAGGTTAACAAGATAATTATTAGCACTACCACAAATTAAGTTCTAACTATTAGGTAATAGGTATTATATGCTATGCTATTATGTGTATATGCAATGCTTCCACTGATATGCTTTTTTTTATCTGATCATTGAATAGACAACGACCATGGTACCTAGCATACTATATTTACTAACTAATTATCATGGTTTTAATTAGGCTGTATTTAGGCTGTAGATTGCCTGTAAAGGCGTAGGCTACAAAAATAAGTCCAGGTATAAGTAACTCGTTGACACAATCACTGAACCACCAAACCACCCACCCACCACCTAAATATTATGAGGTAGGGCATCCGCCCTACCTGAATATAGGGTTCGGCGCCACTGCAGCAACGTGTACACACGAATACACAATACAAGTAAAACAAGGGTGACATAATAAATTTAAAAAATAATTCACAGGGAATGTGCACCTATTATAGTGTTATAGTAAATAGTAAGTTGTTCCAGTTGTTAACATTAATTTTAATGTGCTGCTATCATATATATACCTATTTGGTGGCTTGCCGGTATTATAAACTATATTCATATATTAATTGAAATACTCGACAGTTTTTACTAGAAAATTTAAATTGATTTATACTACAACTATATACTATATCCCGCACATAAATTATTGGAAAATATTAGCCAATTTTATTATACTTTGAAATAAATATGATCTTCTGGTATAAACATGTAGTTTAAAAATCATATTCATTGATAAATACCAGTATAAAAATATAGATGATTGGGTACTAATTCGTGATTTATGGTATATTATTTAAAGGATCAATATTAAACTTTCTAATTTCTCAAAGTTTGATTTTTATTCTGTGTGTATTGTAACATGATACATTGATACAACTTAGTCAATGACGATAGGTACACTCCACTCCTCCAACTGTACAATAGAGTGGTTAATTACATCTTCCCTTTATTTCTATAATCTAGAAATGAAGCCAACAAAATCATAAAAGTATTGAAACTATTAATAAGGTATGTATATATATATATATGGATTTAATAATTATGTGTTGTTATAGAACGTTTATAAAAGTATTGAAATTGTAAAATAGATTATATAATTTTGGAGGGTGTCATTTGAGGGGAGAAATGTGTGCACTTGCACCCTCTTGTATTTCTTATCCATAATTGGCCTAAATGATTATCGATAGTTTTGTTTTTTATGGAAATTTTGTGCAATGACAAATGACAATACATTACTTACATACAGTAATATGGTAATATTATAGGTACTCAGCCCGTCTAAATTAAACCCATACCTACTAATTTACAACCTCTTATTCGTGTCTCGCGAGTCCTATAGGTACCCACGTTGTACATACGAGATAAACTAGTATTATACATACCTAATAGCCAATAGGTATATATTATATATAGGTACTTACTTGTTGTACTGTACCTATATAATATGCAATATATACATATAATATACTGCGGATTGTCAGAAAATTCGATTCAAGAATCCAAGAATCAACGTGACAAATTGATAGCTACATATTATATTAAATGGGATAATTCAACCTAACTTATTTATCTTCATCGAGGATAGGCAAGATGATTGATAAATAGTATCTACCTATAGATAGATACAAGACAACAGGATACATTCAAGTGCACTTGAAATCATGATTTTATATTTTCGAAAAGATACATAAGTGCAAATGGGGCAAGTGCCCTAGGGATGCAAAAGTTGTAACAACTTAAAGGGCGGAAAATGTTTAAATACGTTTGTTTAATAGGGGTA